GCAACCTGAGCCAGTGTCTCACCACCCTCACAGTGAAGAACTTGTTCCTAATTTCTAATATATCATATGAGATTGTGAGGCCAAGTATGATAGAGCACAGTGGAAGGTGCTTATGATCCATTGTTCAGGCCAGTTCCTTCACTTTTCATTTTCCCTTTCAATAGAACTTTTGAAAAGGAATATTTAACCCTTAGGTGCTCGTATCTCTGAGCAGTCTTCTGCTGATCTGGGTCAGTCAATGGGATCTGGATTCTTTGAAAGTTGACTATGGGCACTGAGTATAGTGCCTCAGCCTGCTGAGGTCACTGAAGCAATTCAGTGAGCAGGTTTTTTAAAAACACTTTGTGTTCCACTGCAGTGGATTCGACCACCTCTGGGCAATCTGGGCCAGGGGTTCACCACCCTCAGGGTCAAATGTTTCTTCCTTCTCTCTAGTCTAAATTTCCCTGTTTTCATTTCAAACCATCACCCCTTGTCCTATCATTACAAGCCCTTGTCAAAAGTCTGTGCCCCGCTTTCTGACAGGCAACTTGAAGTCCTGTCAGGCCCCCAAAAGGGCGCCCCAGCTGGAGCCTTCTCCTCTCAGGCTGCCCCAGCCCAACTCTCTCCTGCTGGGCTCCCAGCAGAGGGGTTCCCCCCTCAGGGCATTGCTGGGGCTCCTCTGGCCCTGCTCCAGCAGGTCCCTGTCTCTGCTGTGCTGAGGACTCCAGAGCTGCCCCAGCACTGCAGGGGGGTCTCCCCAGAGCAGGGCAGAGGGACAGGATCCCCTCCCTGCCCTGCTGCCCATGCTGCTGGGGGTGCAGCCCCAGTCTGGGCTCATCTCCAACAGATGAGCAACCTTCAAACTACTTCCACTCCAGTGGAGCTTGAATTACTCAGATTTGAATACCAGGGTTGTGCAATTGCTTTTCTTTTCTGCTTCAGGATCCCGCTTCACTGAAAGGAGACCTTGGCTAAATGTGTGTTGCTGGTCTAAGGGAGGTCTGCAGGGCAGTGTTACAGAAACGTCCTTCCTGAGGTCACTGGCAGCCTTCAGTAGCCAGCCTGCTTCTCCCTCTGCTCCCCCGCAGCAGGGGAACCTCCCCCCTGCCCCTTTTCCAGCTTTCTCACTATTTTTTGGGGTTTGAACTTCCTCCTTTTGAGGTCAGAGAAATGGGTGGCGATAGAAAACTTTTCATCCCAAATGTATTTGCCAGTTGAAGGGTAAAGGGGGTCAAGCTTCTGACCAAGGGGGTCAAGCTTTTGACCAAGCTGACCAAAAGGGGTTGGAGGTGTTGATCTGTCAGAAAAGGTTGTCCTTAGGAGGCTGCTGAGAGCTGCTGGAGGAGTGTCTATGCTCCAGAGTCTCTCAGCTGTGGAGTTAGTTTGCTCTGGCAGCAGCTCTGTCCACCCTAGAAATCCATTACTGGTTTCCAGCTCTGCCTTCTCCAGCACGTGTTGTTGTTGTGTTTCCTTTGCTTTGAGGTGGGGAGAAATTCTACCATTTACATCGAGGTTGAGAGCTGCTCTGAACCTGTGTGTCACCACATGTGTTGGTGGGGGTACAGGGGTGGATTTTTCTCTGCTGAGTGTTGGTGGTGTTTAGAACAGTAGAATCATTTAGGCTGGAAGAGACCTTCAAGATCACCAGGACCAACCGTTAACCTAGCTAATTAACTAGAGTTAGCTAACTAACTCTACTAAATCCACTGACCCATGTCCCTCAGCACCACATCTCCACGGCTTGGAAACCCCTCCAGGGATGGGGACTCCACCACTGCCCTGGGCAGCCTGGCACAACCATTCACAACCCTCAAGGGGAGACGTTTCTCCTCTGGGCCAACTTCAGCCTCCGCTGGGGCAACTTGAGGCCCTTTCCTCTTGTCCTGTCACTTGTTCCGTGGGAGAAGAGCCCGACCCCCACCTGGCTCCAGCCTCCTGTCAGGAGCTGTGGAGAGCCAGAAGGTCTCCCCTGAGCCTCCTTTGCTCCAGGCTCAGCACCCCCAGGTCCCTCAGCTGCTCCTCCCCACACTTGGGCTCTAGACCCTTCCCCAGCAGCTTTGTTGCCCTTCTCTGGGCATGCTCCAGCCCCTCAATGTCCCAAAACTCAGTTTGTGGGTGTAGAGGAATGGATGGCCATGTCTCCTCAGAGTATTGGTGGTTCCCAGGGCATGCTGGCCTGGGGAATTTGCTGGGCTGGACTTCTGATTCAACTGATGATGGAGTAAGAACCTCCCTGACCCCACAACTTGTAGTGGGGAAGACCCTGCTCACACCTCTTGGTTGTGCTGTGAGCTCCCCAACACTTCTGGTCTTAACTGCACCTTACATCAAAGGAGCAGTTTCTTGTTGAGCTTTGGGCTGCACACTTGGTGAGGTGACCTGCTCCTCTAAAACCTGGCTGTACCAAGAGACACACAGACGTGGAGAACACTTCTCCCAAGCTGTATGGTCCAGTTCTCTGTTTCCAAACTGTTCCTGCGGGCTGGTCTGACAGAGGAGTGGCTTGGGCAGGGGGATGGGCAAGGAGAGGCTCCAGACACAGTTCCTACTGCAGTGCCTTGGGCTTTGAAATGATGACAGAAAATTTTCCTGCTTGCATTTGTTCTCATTTAGCTACAGCTTGTTCACCAGGATGTTTTTCAAGGAGGGTCTGGTCAGTGTTGGCAAAGGAAAGTCTCCTATTTCCCAAGCATGCTTATCACTTTGTCCTTGACAACGATGGGAACTTTGGGCACTTTTTTTTCCTCCAGAGATGAACCTGAGAACTGCCTTTGCAGGCATCATTGTGCTGGTTTTCCTGTGTGCTGAATCACTCAGGACAGATAAAGTTTCCCCAAAACACTGTTGGCTTTGCAGATGTTAGACCTGGGAATGTTGGGCGGGAGTGGAACTAACATGTGAACTACGAAGGGAACAAATCTTGCTGGTCAGATAAAGTACCAGCCACCGTGGGGGAAAGTGCATTCTAGTGCGGGAGGAACAATAAAATCCTGAGCATTATGAGCAGCTTGAGGAGATTGTGAGGTGGAGTCTGGAGCAGGGCAGTGCTGGCAGGGGGATGCTGCTGGAGTGGGGAATGGTTCAGATCCAGAGGATGACCCAGAGTCTGCCCAGGGGAGCAGTGGGTGTCTGCCCTCCCTTCGCCTCAGCACTTGGATGGTTCAGGCTGCGGGATGTGAGTCAGGAGCTCATGGTTTAAGGAAGATGTCGAGTTTCAAAGTACATGAGCTTTAAGATGTCATTTTACAGAGAGAGCTGCTGGATGTGATCGAGTGTTTGTGGAGCAGACTTGAAAAGCTCATGTCAGAAGGGTGATATTCAATCTCCCAACTCTCTGGGAGAGTAGCACGCTCCATGCTACACGTGCCTTTGAACGTTTCCTTGGTGTCTTCAGGACTTTGAACGGTTTCTGTTTGTTTTCTCTTACCCTTATGTACATCCAGCTGGTTTTAGCTCTGCATCTAGAGCAATGTTTCTTTCATGGTGAGATCTGGGCACATAAGCACCGTGCACAAGCAATACCTTTTGCTGTGGGAAGGTGAATTTTGGAGGAGGTGGTTCCCTTTCAAGCGCTGGTATGAGATTGATGGCCACCAGAGGTGTACAGATGTTCTTGAGAAGCTGCAAGAACTAGTGCCACATCTTGGCACCACCCTTGCAAGCACAAGGTTTTATTCTAGTGCCAGAGAGAGCTTTGGGAGGTACAGGGAATGCCCTCTTTAGTGTCATCCCCTTGTTCCTAGTAGAGATATTTGGGAAATACCTTGTTTGAAGGAACACATTCAAAACAAGGAAGGTTAATTAATAAGGGCCCTGTTGTGATCATAGATTCACAGAGTGGTTTGGGTGAGAAGGGACCTTTCAGGGCCATCTAATCCAACTCCCCTGCAGGGACCAGGGACATCCCCAACTAGAGCAAGTTGCTCAGAGCCCCGGCCAACTTCCCTTGGAATGGTTCCAGGGATGGGGCAGCGACCACCTTCACCAGTAGGCACGGCTGCTGTCCCCACCTGATGATCTCAAAAGGCAGGCTGGGTTTATGAAGGCAAAGATCAATAGTGAGGAAAGTGCTAGAAGGGTAACCAGGGCAAGAGGCTTTGCAGTAGCATTCATGTTTTGGGTGCTGGCCTCCTCCAGATTTGCCATGCCCCAAAGGAGCCATTCCTACCTGTAGAGTAGGGAGCAATTTGGAATTGGTGTGTTTGTGCACCCAGCAAGGAGCACTGGCTTCTTGCTCTTCAAGAAAATCAGAGCATAGCAGTCAACAAAAAGGAAATTTGGTGCCTGAATGAAGCTATTAATTTTCAGTGTTCAAAAAACCCAACCCAACAACCACTCTTGGTCTGAGCCTTGTACTGATGCCCCTGGCAAAAATAAAGTCATCAGTTGTGTGAGGCTGAGGATGGGATGGCTGGAAGTTTTCTTTTCCCCTCTATTAAAAATAGACAAAGGAGAAATTTTGCTCACTTTCCTTTTCCCAGGGGATCGTTGGAGCTGCAAGCAGAACTCCCATCCATCCAGCTCAGGAACTGGACCAAGATGAGACTCTGATTGTGTCCTCCATGGTCACATGTTTGGGACCACACCAAATGCTCTCAAAAGACTTTATGAAGATGTGTTTTAATGGCTTTGTAAGTGTACATATGTTGAGATGCTGTGTTCTAGGGACTGAAATTTCAGATCTCCGGTAGCATATGCACCAGTCCTCCTACTTTGGTGTTTTGTGGCTGCCATCGTCTTATACTCCATGGCTACCTAGACTGATCTTGCTCTCTCAGGCTGTCTTTTCTTTCCATTCACTCTCACAGTGGGGAAGTGCACTGAATCTGAAGTTGGAGTCTTTTGTATAGCGGTTCCCAGGATCTGGATCTTTCAGTGCGTGTGGATCACTGGGCTGTCACGCTGGAAAATAAAAGTGTGCAGCTGGTTTCCATTCTGGAGCTTCCAGCAGGCATGTGCTTGTTGAGCAGTGATGCTGCAGGGCTTGGAGATTAACGCTCGTGTTTCTGTTTCCCCAGAGATCATCGACGACCTCACGAACCTGGTTGAAAACACGGATGACAAGCTCCGCAACCAGACGCGGCACGTGAAGATGGTGGATAAGAAATCAACGTCCTGCGGTAGGAAATGGCCTGAGCACAAATCCTGCCCTGCTGTCCAGTGCTGGCCAAGTAGCTCAGCACTCGGAGGCTGTGTCTGGTGTGCTCCCCCCTGGGGCAACTTCTTTTAAAAGTTAGGAAAACCCCTTCTTCAGCTGATGTTGGTACAGTGTTGACAGAGTTAATTTCCTTCAGCGATTTATCTCCAGCATTGCACAATATTCTGATTTGAAATTGTAAAACTGGCCGAAATTAGAGTGGTATCTGTTAATTAGGTTTAAAAAAACTTGCTAGCTCCCAGCTCTCCCAAACTGGCCACAGCAGGGAGTGATGCTGCAGGGACATTTGTGGTGGTGTCCTGCAGGAATGTGTTCTCAACCAGTGTGTTCCCAACCATGTGGCGTTCACAGCCTGCCAGACTTGAAACCCTTGCTTATGACTCCTGGAGCTACGTGCAGGCTGGTAGAGTGAAGCTGGACTCTTCTGTCCACACAGCCAGAGAGAGGTTTGACATCACAAGGGAGTGGATGTGGTTTCCTCTATAGGATAAGAGCTGGGGGGTTGGTAGCAATGGCTGTGAGAGGGTGCTGTGGGTGATGGAAGCAGATGTTGGGAGGATGAGTGACTGAGGGTTGAAGTCAGTGGGGAGGTGGTGGCAGTGAGACACTTCTGGAAGCAGCGTGTCTGGTTCTGGTGTCTGTGGTTTGGTTTTGTTGTACTAGAAGACTCAAAATGCTAACTAGAGTAATTTATGCTCTGGAAAAATTTGACTTAGAGTCAGCAGTTAATGAAACTTGGCTAGTTCAGGAAAGAGAAAGCTGAGAGGTCATTTGGTCCCATACCTGTTTCTGGCTAGTGGGAAGCTTTTATTCTGTAGAGTAAAAGCAAAAGTGACTGAGCTCAGATGGCAATGAGACATTTTTTCAGTCACTGAGGATGTATTTTAGGAATTTCTGTAGTTCTCTGTCAGACGTAACTTTTTGAAAGCTTGGTTGGTGTAGGTTCATGAAAATCTGTTGCCTTTCTGGGTGTTCAAGTTGACTTCTCAGAGGCGTTTGTCTACGATTTCTCTCCTACCAACTATGGGTAGAATTAAAGTGACTGCAGAGTTCAAGACCAGCTTTTTATTTTAAAGCTTTAATGTTGACATGGGATGGATTTAATCTAAGAATAATTGTGCTTGAATGATGCTTGAGGACTGCTGTGTGCCTTTGGATTTTCCCTGGTATTCCTGTGCATTCGTTTTCTGCACGAGTCGGGGGAAGCACGACACAAAGTGCCCACGCAGGGCAGGGCCAGGAGCCTGTTTCATGCCAGGCAGCTTCACCCACCGTAGGTATTTCTCCCCCCTTTTGAGGTTCCTCATGCGAATGCAGCCCCCTAGACACCACTGCTGGGTAATGAGCCTGTCTCTTTAACTCTGGAGCCAGTGCTGGGGAATTTGAGAGGAGGAGGAGAATGGGAGAGGGAAGGCTGGGAGGCTCCTGGGCTGGATTCCTTGGGGGTGACCTCTCACCCTTTCCACATTGAAAAACACTTTTCTGGGAGGGCTGGTGAGAAACTCTGCCTCTCAGTGCCTCTTCCATCTGCTCCAATAGGTCTTCCTGTGCTTGCAGAACAATTTGGGAATATGTAAACACGATATTGCCTCAGATAGCTGGTTTATTCCACCCAAGCGTGAGGTTTAGAACAATAATGCTGGAAGACACAAGCTTTAATGGCAGAATTCCCATCCCTTTTCCACTTTTATCCCTGGAACTGAAAGTTAACTAGCATATTAAGATCAGAACAACGCTCTGTGTTCGTACAACTAGTCCTTGAACAAAGCCAAGCAGTGGGACAACTGGCACCTGCTGGTAATTTTTTCAAAGGGCTTCCCCCTCCCTCCTTTTTCAGCATTTCACTGAAATTGATAAAATCTTCACTAACTCTGTGGTTTCAGTGTTTTACTTCAGATTTAAGCTGGGCTGAAGTGCCCAGTCTTCCCCCTTGCCCATCTTTCCTTCCCGGGATGCAGACGTTTGCCTGGAGCTGGTCTCCACGCTC